GCCGCTACTGCTTTGGATCCTTCTGGCCGGTGATCTGCTTCTCTTGTCGGATGGTTTTTGCGAGCCGTATGAAGGCAGTGTTGTGGATTTTCCAACGATTGTTTCCAACTCTACCAATGCTTGGTTCTTTCCCGTGGTGATGACATTGCGCCCCATTGTTGTCCCAGCGTTGAGCTCTTGTCCCGCAGTCGGATATCTGCACCTTCTCGTTTTTGGATTGGCTCCCACGCTTCTACCTCCGACGGAAAACCTTTTCCATTGCTTCAAAACTACGCGCTTGGAATGCGTAGGTCACTTGGAGACGCTGCGTGACACAGTAGCGTTGTCCATTTGCCCTTGCATCCTGGAAATGGGCCAGCATCTTTGTGGTCGGGGGCTCTCGCAGCTTGCTCTTGTGTTGGCTCCTGCAGAGCCTGTAGACCTTTTGATCCTGGACAGCAACAGTTGTTTGTTCCACGTCTCCAGCTTCCACACCTTCCAGCGAATTGAATGGGGCGCCGCATCGCTCCGGCTTAAGAACCCAAATTGTTTCCTGTTCGTTTTCATCCATTCGACCAAGCATTTTTTGCAAGCGCTCTTGCGCGTTCCAGGTTCCACTGGTCACGCCGAGGCTTGGCTAGGCCGGGCGCAGCCCACGGCTCATGCAGCGTGCGTGGCGACCGTTCCATTGAACCTGGCAGAACCCACGCTCACCGAGCGGCTCAGCCGTGAAGCGCTGACAGTTTTTACGCCATGCGAGTTACTCACTTCCTCGCCAGACGCTGCCAGTTGCACAGCGGGTGCGTCGGGCCCTGCGCAAATGGAAGACGACTCAGTCAATGCCTGTATAGCCTCGCCGGGCAACTTGCTTCGGGGTACACCTGAAGACTTCAACCGAGCTTTTGCAGACGTGTACCGCAAAGATCCAGAAAGAGCAAAGCTGATCTCTCGATACATCCTTGCCGACCTTGCCCCCTTCCCACATGAGCAGCTGAAAAATGCCTTGCCGGACGTCTATTCAATGACAGACAACCTTGCCCAAAAAGCGGGCTGCCCCTTTGAATGGGCTTTCCTCCTTTTTCTACCCGTTCTTGGCACTGCGTGCTCCAAAGCCAGGCTGTTCATCAACGAATTTTTCCTCGTGCCGCCGCTGCTTTGGTTGGGCTTATGCCTCGACAGCGGCGCCAACAAAAGCGGCATCATGACAGCCTTGGCAGACATCGTCTCTGGCTTTGAAAAGGAGTTGCTCCAAAAGGCGCTGGACGAAGCTCGTAAGGAAGCGCAGCTGGCAGAAGAGGAGGAGGATGCACACGGTGCGGAGCCAGATGAGCCTTCGTCAAAAAAACGCAAGACCTCCTTGTCGAAAGCATTGGCGGCCATCCAGAACAACAAGCCCGCCTTGTTTTCCGACGAAGGCTCGTTGCCCGCCATTGGCATGCAAATGGCGCACAACGGGCACCGGGCTATTGGATTATATGATGAAGGCCGGTTCCTTCTCCGAGCGCTGGCCAACGGAGAAGGTTCCGGATTTAATGCCTCCACTATGTCCAAGCTCTTTAGTGGCTCCATTTGGAAAAGGACGGTTGTGAAGGATAACAACCGCTTCTCCATGCACCAGACATGCCTTTGTTTAGCAATGACTTTCCATGTCGAGGAATGGCATGACTTTCTGGCCAAAGATGGTGCCTTGGGCATGCAAAGTCGGTTTCTCATGTTTCACAGCAGCCCCCGCCTCGAGAAAGCAGACGCAGTCCTCGAACCTGCGGTGTATTCCACGGGGGCTGCGCGCTCTCGAGGTGCGCCGGTCCTTCCAGCTTCATTGCTCACCCAGTTTGTTTCTGTCCTCACAAGAATCGAAAACGTTCACACTGCAAATGCTCCTGATTTTGATGCGTCGCGGGAATTCATTCCATATTTCTTTGCCCCCGATGCCTTGGATTATTTTCGAGAGCACTACGACGCCCAAGTTCTCACGCAAGAACAATCATACTTGCAGGACCCAAAGCTTTTCAGCCATGCCGGCAAACTGAAATCACTTCCCTGGCGTTTGGCTCTGTTGTTGCATTCTTGGGCGCGTGCGTGTTCTGCCGCCGATCAGTCAGGCACGGCTTGGAGCAGAGAGCTTTCTCGCGAAGTCGTGGAGCCGGCTAAAGCTATTTTCGATTATTTGTCCTTGCAGTCTCAACTGCTCGCGCCGGGATCCAACCTCGTCAGCCCCTTGGACACGCACGACTTGCGCGAGCTTGCTGCGCAGAGGTATCCGTATCTTATCACTTTGATCGAAACCGACACTCTCCCAACTGCTCGCGCAGAAGCTGCCCCTGCCAATTCGTTGCCGGATGCTAGCCCGTCTTTCACTGTTTGGTGGGAAGCCCTTTCCCCGGACAACAAACTCTATGCTTTCGTTGCTGCGCACTGGGTTCTCACGAGCGCAAGCACAATCATGGTTGACCAGGGGACCTTGCTGAAGAAACTTCATGCAAAAGACACAGGCGTGGCATTACCAAGAGATGCTGCCAAGCCATATTGCCAAAACGCGTTTTTGCTTCTGAAATATTGCCAGTTGGCAGCCTTGACCAGGACCTCCGAAAAGGCGGCTCACAGGCTGCGCAAAAGAAAGCCTCCGCAATGCCCAACTTCCCAAGTTGCATTTTCAAATTTGCTGCATCTTTTCCAGCACAAGCAGGCGAACAGCTTGGCGGAGTACGCAGAATCCTGCCTAACGGTGACCGCGTCTATCTCCAGTCTGTATGCTGCCGACTTGAAGGTCCTGTTGCCGCCCGATTTCGATGTCCCGCGCATGGAGCAGTGCTTGCAGCTGCTCACGCAATACGCCACTGACGCCCGCCCTTTCGAGCACAGTGCCAAAATTCTGAATGTCAAATCCCAGCGCGTGGCAGCCAAGCAGGTAGCGCCTAACAATCCTCGTCCTCCGCCTCCAGGAACCGAGATGTTAGCCGGGGCCACCCACAGCGACGCGTGCTCTTCGTTGATGTACCCAGGGTCCCTCAGTTTGTTGCCTGCTTTCGTTCTCGCGTTCCACCACGCGGATCCTGCATGTCGAGCGTCTGTGGCGCACGCATTGCTGCAACAACAATGTTTCCATCTTCACCTGTCTGAAAGGGACTGCGACTTTATTCTTGGCAAGCTTCTCCGACGTGCCCCGCATTGGCTTGGAGCTGAGTGCCACTTGCCAAAACACATTCCCACGAGATGCGTTCAACCAGACGTGAAACATTGTCTGACGTGCCACGCACATCTCAAATGTGCCGCCGCTCGCGCAGTGCCTTGTGCGCTTGGCTTGCATTGCGTGGAACAGGTCCTGCTCCTCAGCTACTCTTGCTGCTCCTGCAGTCGCTCTTATTTTGGACCGTGGGTTGAAGGCAAAGATGCAACTGGTGCGCGGGCTAGGATGCTAGTGCAAGACAACCCACGCTACTTCTGCATCACGCAAAACATCGTCTTTGCGACAGCTTTCTTGGACCAAGTCACCGACATTCTGCTTCATTGCGGCGGTTCTTTCCGAGGCATTGTGAATGTGCTGCGGCCCAAGCTCCACATGAAAATTCGAACGCTGGAGAAGCATCTCCGCGATTCGTGGCTGCAATACTCCGTGTGCAAGTTTTTGACAAACAATCGCACTTCCATCAATTGCTTTGTCGGCAAGAATGGCATGGAACCCTGGTGCCGTGGACTCGAAGACCAGGTGCTTCACCAATTTCAGCGTCGCTGGCTCCTGCAACACCAGTGTTCCAAGTGCGAACGAGGCATTCTAGGCGTGGACGGCAATGCCAAAGTTCGTAGCAAACTGTGCGCCAACACGGATGCGGGCGTATGGGATTGCAGGCCTCTGAACGCCCATTGCCGGACTGGATGCCAGAGTGCTCCCATTCCTAGTCGAAAATATTGCGCCGTGCACCTCCGAGATGCTGACCCGATTTTTGGTTGCGATCTCATTTTGCAAATGATCCTTTCCTTCCTCGCAACGACAGCAACCCTGCTTTCTCGCACCGAAGCTGGTCGCCACAAGTCGCCAGATATTGTCGCGCTTTTCCCGCTTTGTCGACGAACGCGGAAAGCGTTGAGTTTTGCTGTGAGCCACGCTAAGCTTCAATATCCAGTTTCGCTTCTTTCTGTCAAACGTATTCCGCGTTCGCGGCGGTATGCTTTCCAAACCAAGACAGGCCAAGCCTTTTCGCTATCAAGCGCCTTGGTTCCCACGCACTACCAACAGCAATATGGTCAATCCTTGTTGGAGCCCGTTTCACGAGAGTGCCAATCAAAGCCACGCGTCGGACATCAAGTCCAGTTCTCTGCGTCCGAGAAAAATGACGCGTGTCGCCGGCAATGGGAAAAATCTCGTGCAGCACGGCGCAGTGGGGGCGTTTTAGCCGCTGTCAAGGAATGCCAAATCATCAGCGCCATCAAGCTCGTGTACACCCACGAATCCCCAACAGGGGTCTACTTTTTCTTGGCTGAGCTGTTTGAGTTTCTGTCTGCCGGCCGCAATGTCAATTTGAAGACTGCCAAGCGGAAGACTCGCCTGCGAACACTTCAGCAAACCATGCCGCTGGTCTTTAACGATTGCGCGTGCACGTTGCAGCGCTTCATGGCTTCCAAGAAACGACGCCGCATGAGCAAAGTTGCTCGTACCCTCAGCCGGCTTCGCCTTGTCATCGACAAGTTCCATTTTCGCAAAGGGCACAGCGGCTGCAAGCCTGATGGCACTCGCCCGTTTCCCAAAACGTGGCCTCAGACGCATGCCTCGAGCTTCCCCAACATTAATGACAGCGCAGCTGAACAATCTTTTGCGTTTGTTCGCAAAATTGCGGTGGCGGCGCGGCGCATGACTCCAGTGCGTGGCCTTCTCTTCCTTGCGTCATTGCTGCACGCTCGCAATGTACAACTCGAACTCATGGGGATCAAAAAGGCAGAACTGGCAGCGGCCAAGAAGCGAAAATTCATGGCGCGCCGCAACTTCCAGGATGCAGTGGAAACGCTGCCATTTCGACGACCAGCTTCGCAGCAGCTCTAAATCCATGCCGACCTCCTGCTGTTTCACCCGCTTTACAAAAAAAGCCGACAGAGTTCGAACCGCAGCAAAATGAAATTTTCGGCAGCGACTTTCGTGCGAAATGTGTCCTACTTGCCAATGTCTCCTGTTCGATCTCCATTGCCAAAGTCCTCCATCTCAGCCATGACACCGTGCAATGTGTATCTGTACTGTCGTCTCTGTTTCTTCAACATGTTTTCCATCATCCACGAAACTAACATGCAGTTTGTGTCTTGTACCGAACCTCCACGGCATATGCACACTAACGACATTTGGTCTCTGAACTTGCCTTAGGTTGTAGCGTATCAAATCGTATTTAATCTTGTTACGCTGCCTTGGTTTGCAGCTTTCGGTTTGCAGCGCCCAGTTTCCATAGACTCCAGTTCCCTTAGATATCTATTGAGTTCACCACAATGCAGACATGCACTTCCCATGCCCTATTTGAACATAGGACAGTCCAAAGCACATGCTTCTACCTTAGCTAAAACACACACACACACATGGCATTTTGCCAATCGCAGCCTCACACAACCAGCGCTGCCCATCAGCACCTCTCTCCATGTGCCGTGCAACGAGTCGTCATCCGGCTGCAACGGGCTGCTGCTACGGAGCCGCTTGCCTTGCAGCTTAAGGTCGGGGGGTCGTCTGTACACGCGAAAACGGGTTCGTCTGTACACGCGAAGCGGGGGTCGTCTTTACACGTGAAACGAGGATCAGCTTCATGGACTTCATCTATTTCTTGTCCTCCTGTGCATCGTCTACACTAATCATATATATATATATGTTTTTTATTTGCCTCCGCAACGCTTCGAAACCGCGAAGAGTTAGAAGAGATGTTACTTGCCAGGTTCACAGAAGATAATGACGCAGGTATGTGTCAGGTGGAGTATCGATTCTCGCCTGGTCCATGTTTTCACGGTTCGAATGTTTTTGGCACGATATATTTTCAAAGATTCTCATGGTTACATTTTGCCATTTTCATGGTTGCCCTTTACATTTTTACTCGTGACCGTTCTAACTTTACCGCTACGACGTTACAATTTGGGTGATGCAAGTTTACACTTGTTGGTTGAGGTCTATGTTTAGTGCTTGCATGGAACAAATTTCCTACTTAGACTTTGCATTTCCCATGGTTCCTTTTCGCATTTTAATGGTTCCGGTCTACATTTTTTAGCGGGACTTTCCCAAAAAATTTTCTTCTGTCAATTTTTTCTTTGCTGTTTTGCTTTCTATTTTCCAGTGTTTTTCTTCAGGCTCTTTTTTCTTCCGTGGTCTTTTTTGCTCTCCTCTTCTCTTCAACTGCTTTTGTGTCCTTGCCACTTTCAATACTTACGTTTTCAGTTTTTGGCAGGTTAGCTGCTACTTGTAGTGCTTTGATCTTGCCTTTGGTTCTATTCTGTGTCTGGTGTTGCTGTTGCTTTTGTTTGTCTCGTGTTCTTGTCTTCGATTTTTTGTGTCCCTTGGTCGGCCGGTCGGCCGGTCAGCCGGTCAACCGGGCATTCCGCCGGTCAACCGGGCAACCGCCCCGGTCAGCCGGTCAACCGGGCAACCGCCCTGGTCAGCCGGTCAACCGGGCAACCGGGCAACCGGGGAGGGGAGGGGTCAACCGGGATCCGGTCAGCCGGTTGCCCGGTCCGGTCGGCCGGTTACCGCCATACTCAAAAGCTATTGAAAATGGCCATTTATACTTGATTTACCCATGAAAAGTGGTGATTTTCCATAGTTATGTTAGTTTACCAGAGGGTAACCCCCAAAAAAACCTACATACCCAAAAAGGATTGAGCTGGATTTTCAGACCAATTTATGGCTATTAAAGAATTGGGAAACTTCCAAACCGTTGGAATTCTTCGTAAATTATAGCGCGCTTAATGGCAGACACACCGTGATTGATAAATCTCTTGGCTCGTGAAATCACTCAGATGGGCCACGCTAGCGTTATTAATAGTGAATTGGCTAGGAATTAGGCTGTAACCCAACGATGGCATACCAGTAATTAAGAACAACTTAACCAACTCGGTGGCACTTTTTGAAGTACTCAAAATTTGGATGGATTGTATGTAGCCATAGTTATTTAGATTTGGAGCCTTTTTGTATCTCGCTGAAAGTGAAACTTTAAGCAGCGGATTTCCTGTTTATCATCTAGTTTTTATTCCAGTTATCCAGTTGTATTATGTTTCATGCATTTATTGATGGGTTAATCCCCAAGCCATATCATATTGTTTTTATATCACATGTATATATATATATATAGATCATACTTCCGACGACATGTTTGCCGCGTCTTCCAGCAGATTGTGTTCGTTCCAGTTAACAGAACGAGTCTATGGCCATAGGATCCATGTATGCTATTTGGTAACATATACCATCAATATACCCCCAATGTTAGCATATATACCATACATGGATCCTATGGGATGGCAAACCATCTGATTTGGTGAAGGAGATGGTCAGTGCGACACCCCTCCGGACGCAGTTGAATGAAGATCAATGAATCCCCAGCAGTCACCAGAAATCACCAAAAGTCCACCATTAAAATCCTTTTGAATCACCATAAGTCATCATGAAATCCCCACGTCTCCAGGCAACGAGCGCTGCAGCTACTGCGTGGTGCCCTTCACGCGCGGAAGCGAACAGTCACGGCCCATGAGCTCCATCCGGCGCGAGGCCGTGGCCGGAAAAACCTCGGGACATCCATTGGGAAGTTCACCGCTTTTTGACAAAAATCCTCTGGTGGGTTCAATGGCCATTTCAGGATCCTAAAATGGAGGTACCAATCCCATATATAAGGCCTATTTTTCAGGCCTATACAAGGGAATATACACCCAAATATGGCCTTACACGGCACAGTACGTCTGTTTTGGGATCCTTGGGTTCCCCTTGGTGGGTGGTTTCAGAGGGGTTGAAACCACCAACCACTTTGTTATTTTCCACAATATATGGGATGTCATCCTTCCCATTGACGAACTCATGTTTTTCAGAGGGGTAGGTATACCACCAACCAGTAGTCATTGAACCAGGAGACATAGTCATTCCATCATCAAGACTGGTGATGTTTTATGATCCAGAATGATGGTTTAACTGTTTAACTATCAAAAACGACGGTTTAGCCCAGAACATCTGCAACTAATATGAACATATACGGGTAAACCAATTGGGTATTGAAACTGAGGATGCGATCTGCAGTCAAAAACAGAACTGGGAAATACTGGAAACATGACATTAACATCATTAACCAGATTTAACCGTCAAGAATCAAGAGACATTGGGAATTCATTGGGATATCACTAGAAACAAAAGTGGATTTTAGCGAGTCAACAACATTGTTTTTTCTGATTGCTACGGCATGAGGAAAGATGGGGATTCAGGATATGTAACCAACAAAAATGCTGGCATAATGGGGTTTATGATGGGGATATGTAACCAACATTCACCAGCAATATGAGGTGGGCACCCTCAGTTGTAAGTAGGTTTCGTTTCACGCCATTGACTGTAGATCTACCATAAACCCTGGTTGGCGGTTTGGAACATGGCTTTTATGACTTTCCATTCACTTGGGAATGTCATCATCCCAACTGACGAACTCATCACCTGCAGGTGGAAACGTTGGGGGACGAGGGCTTTCGAGAAGTGACGCTCCTAGGCGGTACCGGACTGGACGCGGTCGTCGTGGACAAATCGTTGGGAGAAAAGGCAGCAAATTCTAGGATCTCTCACATCGAAAAATTGGGATTCAAAATGATTTAAGGGAAATGTCAAAAACATAGGAGCAAAGTGAGTTTGATCTTGCAAACACTGCGCATTCTCCATCATCCTCCACCGTCGCATGAGTTTTCTTCTACCCATAGGGTGTTTTTCCCTGTGCCGCTGCCATAAAGATAAACAAATGGCATATTCGGATGCAGCAATTCATGATAAGAAGTGTTGGTGTATCATGACCAGTGTTGGTGTAACATGATGGGATAAACAATCAATGGGATATTCAAGTGAATTGAAGCAACACATATCACTTCAAGATACTTCAAGACCAGTGTTGGTGTATCATGACCTCACTGGCCGGCGCATTGAAGTTGCTGAATTGGGTCGGACAATTGGGGTTGAAGTTCAAATATGTGTTCTTTCTAAATTGGTTCTGGTGTCTCAGATAATGATGTTTTCAAAAGTGGTTCTGTTGAACCGCTTTTGGTTCTGTAATTGTTTCAGGGGTTTTGTACCAAAAGGCAAACGAAACAAAATGAGGTGTAACTCGGTTTGGTCTTCTTGGGATATTGGCGACTCAAAGACTGGAGTCACTTTTGTATCGGGGTGTCAAACATACAGCAAACACCGGAGTTTAAGCGACCATCATGGGGACATTGTCAAGCTCCAGTTCCCCCTAATATTAAACACCCTGTAAATGGTCCCAAATAAGGTTTCATCTTCTAAAGCAAGGTTTCGGGGGTGGAGGATCACATCCCGTTGCGAGGTCACTAGAATGATGGTCATGTTGGTAGGTGTAACTATCCTAAAATGGCGCAACTTTGCTGAACTATTTTATCATGTTCCATTGATAAATATTGATAGCCTCTGGTAATTTAACATAGCTATTGAAAATGGCCATTTATAGTGGATTTTCCCATTAAACATGGTGATTTTCCATTGCTATGTTAAATTACCAGAGGGTAGCATATGATAACACAATGTGGCCATAGGGCATAGCGCATAGCCGGCATAGCCCGCCAGTTTTCCCAGCTAGTCATGTTTGATTCCCGAAGGGTAGACCGAAAAAAGTGCCATAAACCATGCCCAAAAACATGTCTTTGATGCACTTCCCCAAAAGGTCGGGTTTATGATTGGGGATTTTTTTTTTATCATAATCATCCCAATGATTATCCCAGAGATGTCCTATAGTCATCCCACTATTGGTTGCCCACATTATCAAATCATTATCATACAATATAGTGGGACAATATCCTATCGTAACATTAAATGGATAAAAGATATACAATTATAATCAATTATATACTGTATATATATATACACATATATATATATATATATATAATTGCTTTCCCATGATAGTCATACATGATCAGGGGTTGGTAACTGTCCCATTTTGGGTACAGTATATTGGACATCACCTGAAAAAGTAGCCATCTAGTAGACCATATACCATTCATGGTTGGGTGATGTTCAATGGGGACATTTGGCTATGGATCAATACCTATAGATACATTTTTAGTGGGTTATTCACATCCATAAATCCCAGCTATTTTGGGGTTCACCAGGGGTACAGGGTTTTGACCCATCCCCATTTAATGACCCATGATGATTCATTTTGATATATCATTGATTTCCCATGATAGTAATTATGTATACGTATATATATATATATCATATATCCATTTATTGGTTTCCCAGTCATACATGATTCATTTTAAAATCTATATTTGTTGCTTCATCGTCCCCAAGCTGCAACCTTCGAGACTTCGCTAGGGCAAAACATCGATGCCTATGGCCGAGACTTCACACCCCGAAGGACTTGACCATGTTGAGAAATGGGGGGTTTCCTAAAGGGGCAGCCTATAACCCCAAAAATAATCCATGTTAATTCATAGGAATTTCATGGGATTTGAAGATTTAAACCATGAATGTTGATGAATTTTATTGGCTACCCCCCATGAGATACGGAAAACCCCACATCAGAAGTGTGAACCATTAACCCCGGTGACGAGTTCGGAGATTCTGCTCACCATGGGGATATACTGGGATTAAATGAGACACAAGCAACAAGATCATACCCAGTTTCGGTCGATGTGTTTGTTAATGTCGGGAAATCAGGTTCTAAGTCATGAGAATTATTCAGGTTTCCCTATTTTCAGACGATCCCATCACAGGCGGCCCGGCAGGATGGGGATGATCATTGATGATCCTTTGATTGGTTAGACAAGATAGTATGATAAGATAAGCGTTAGAGACAAAAACTATAAAGATCATCCGCGCATCCAGGACCTCAGGAGAGGCCAAATCAAGGTACCGGGGTCTTGACCGCTACCCATATTCAAAGCATTTCAAAGCAATGTTTCCATTCAGCTCTTGAGGTTGAGCCAGAGGCTACCTTGAAGCGGCCAGCTTCCCAGTGCTTCTGCCAGTTGGAAGGATCTGAGCAAGGTCGACTTGCCATGGTTCATGGGAAGTTCGAACTCAGCAGTCACTGGCTGCTGGCTTGAAGCGTTTTGTGATTTTGTGAAGCTGAAAAAACGGCGGATGGATTTTTCGTACTCCTGGCGCAAGAATTCTCAGAGTGTTTGGCCAGAGGAGAACACGGTCGATGGGATTTGGCTAAGTACAAGAGTTGATCTACTGGACTCATGAAGCCCCTTACAGTGAACATCAGTGAACTCTCGATTCCAACCAAAGTTTCTCTGAAGAGTGATATGGGCTCAAATTTACTGTAAATTTCCAAACAGTCCAAAATTGGATTGATTAGATTTATATCATTTGTATCATTATCCAAAAATCAAAACATGATGATCGCTACTTACTTGTGTGCCCAACATGGTATCACAAGACCGAAGACATATTACTTGTCTCATGGTTAAAACTAATTGGCCCACACGCAGGCGCTAGCATGACATAGAATGGCCACTTAGACTTGTGTGGGTTCATGATACTTCAATTTTGAATCATAGCCATATGAGTTGCAAAGTGAAAAATAAGGATAAATAAGGGTATATACAGTACCCCCTTCCATCCATTGGTTTTGCATAAATTTCTCCATGAGCATAGCATTTGTGTGGGTAGTTTCTAATATCTATCAATATATCCTCATGAACTCCGCAAGTTTGTCCCATGTTGTACCCTTTCTATTCAATCTATTGGTTTTATAGATCCATATTTATGTTATTGTATGTTATGTAATTGTATATATATATATTGTAGATATTATATATATATATAGCTATATATGAATAAATAACACATGCATAATATTGTGATGTTTCATTACCCAGTAATATATATATATATGTATATATAATAACAATATATACATGTACATTCAATATCCTAACATGGCCTGAAAGATTTGGTCGCAGATCAGGACCTTCGCAGATCTTCTGCGTTCTTTGTCTGACTTGGACATCTCACGGATCCGTTTCCTCACGTCACACCCCAGGTGCCGAACGGGGATATGGAAGACGGCAGAAATCTGCGGGGCGTTGTGTGCATGTAGCTTTATGTAATAATCAAATGTACACATGTGCAAACCAAGAAAACATCATAAAATAAGCTATAATTGTGTGACATGTATATATAGAATTATATAAATATACATGTATACACATGATATCCTATGTATATTGTTCATATATATATATGATATGTATAAATATATTAATATATAATGTACTATAAACATCTATAACATTTCAAATTATATGCATATACATTATACACATCACTTTTTTCATTGGATCATCATACATGTCCTTTCTACTTATGTATATCAGTTTATTCACTAATTCTATGATGTTTGAGACAAGGGTTAAGACTTTGCATATAATGCATATACATATAGTAAAGTTAGGTAGAGAAATATTGATGAGGTGCTCCAAATGGTCAATCTCCTCTTCAACACAAGACTTGTACAATTGTTTTGTCAAATTAATACTTTAAAAAATACAGATGCAACTAACTAATATTGATAGCCCCAGAGCCGGATTGATGAACCATCATAAACCCCTGTTCATTAATTAGGGCGTTACCAAAGTAAGTGATAAGCTGCCGATGGAAACACCCCTAACCGGCCCTAACCAAACATTGCAATATAATTCCAGACTACTCAAGCATCCGAAATTCTTTGTTTGGTCCCCCCGCCAAACATGAATGTTTCGTCAGGGTTTCAAGTTTCAATCTAAAGGATATGGACAATCCCATGTTTTTTTGTATTTGTTATAATGTCAACCATCGAACCATTGAATGTCCATGTCTATGTTAGATAATTTCAGGCTATCTTACATAGTCATGATAATGTTATATATATATACATACATAGCATACATATGTATATATATATATACATATAATTATATACATATATATATATATATGACATGACATATGATATATATATATACATGTATACTGTATATTATATATACATGTAACCCTGTCGGGTAGAAACCGCAGAACGTTTCCCCCCCCCAAAAAAAAAATCCCGGAAAACCAGGTACATCTCTGATGACTTGATCCGAGCCGTGCGAGCCACGTGGCGAATTGATCGATCTAGCCTTGGGTGGCTGATTATTGTGTTGGGTTAATAACCATGATATCAATTAATAGATGATTAATAATATGATATCAAATAACTATACTATAATCAATTATCAAATAATGATTATTAATGATATCAATAATGATATCTATTACTATAGTAATACCATTATCAATAATGATATCAAATAACTATAATATACTACAGTCATAAATGATTATCCATGATTATAGTAGGCCATTATTATAATGATGATCCATGATTATAGTAATTATAATGATATCAATAACCAATGATAATAGTATATAAACGTAAACCATGATTACAATGATTAACCCCCATTTGTATGATTCATTGAGTATAGCACAAACGGATTATTTTTGGATGATTAAAGTATTGAATGATAGAATCCATGAACTATCGATGGATGAATCGTTTGAATATGGGTTGATAATCATTACACTTGGTTGATCTAATCCCAAAGCAACTAACAATGATTATCAACTGATCATTATTACAATGTATTGGGGATTATCATAATCCATGAACTGGGAAATGTGCTCTTGGCCCTCGGCCAGCCAGTATAAAGGAACGACATAGGGTTTTGAACGCGGCTTACATGGTCAAACTGCTTTAAGATAGTGGAGCTAAGGTGCAGGGTAAAATTAAGTTCGATTTCCACTGTTGCAAGGTTTGGAGTTTTGGTTCTGGATCACCCACCCTGAAGTTTCATATCTTCGACTAAAGAACGTATATTTGTTCATCTATGTAATCTGGTGACATTGCTATCGGCAATCCCACCACGATCTACTTGTTGCATCTAAAGTTTTCCAGTGCACCATATTAACTCACCCAGTGTCCCAGTATGACACGTAAATATGATATATCATTATTACATATCAATATACATATGAATGTGACCCTATCAAGTATTTCCAGTGCATTACAGGCAATACACACGTTTGAAGTGGCCCCAGCATAGCCCAGCACATTAAGGTTTGTTGACATCATTCTTCAAGAGAGGTTGCGGGATTTTGAAGATCGCCTAGAACATGCTTGTTCATAAACCATCGCATTAACCAACAATTTTGGGGGAAGTGGTATACCCAACAGTAAACCAAAATTGGGGGTTTCCTAAAACGGAGGTACCCCAAAATGGATTGTTTTTTTCAATGGAACATCCTATAAATGTGGATGATTTAGGGGTACCCCCACTTTAGGAAACCTCCAATTCGGAATGTTTTATTTCCCTCACTGCTATCCGGTGGTTAGCCTCGTAGCCATTTTGGCTCAAGGAGAGGCACTTTGGTCCGAGACTTCCCAGTAGTTGCTAGGCTGCTAGGCTTCAACAGAGTTCGGACCCTTTGATTCTCGCATTCCCATGGTCCTTCGGATCGATTCACCATACGTTGTTATTCCGGTGCAAGACCCATACTGGAGAGAAAGATGTTGTTTACTGGCTACTCACCTTGAGCTTGCCCTGCATCATTGCTGGCGGCAAGCTTGCTCGGAGTATGCTGGTATGTTTCCAGGTGACCTACCAGAGGCTACTGGGCAACCCATTAGCTTGGCATCTGGTTTGCTGTCCGATGATACAGTTTCAGGATGTAATCTTGGCGTTGACATATGCCAAGGCCACGTCACAGAGGAATGTGAGCCCAAAAGCGAGCCGCCGGTTCTTTCCAGCCATTGTGCTGGGGCCAGCTTGCTGCAGACAAGTTTCGATGACGAGTTGCTTGAGCATTCTATGCAGGTTTTCGCTGCTTTGTCTCAATTCAAGGTGGTGGACTTGCAAGTTGATTGGAGCTTGCCAGGACCGGGGTTTGTCACAACCAATGCCTTCACCATGAGCAAGCCTAAATTACAAGAGCAACCAGCCCCAGACAACTACACTGTGGGTCAATGTGTATTGCTGTCTGGTCTCAGCATGAAAGGATTGAATGGAGAAGTGGGCGTCGTCACCAATCGATGTTCAGCCTCCAAGCGGTATGGCGTGAAATTGGCTAGTGGTCGATATGTTGCTGTTCGGGCCTGTAACATGGCCCTCCTTGCTGGAAGTTGTGCTGCAGATCCTTCTGCCAGTTTCGCCTCCAGACCTAAGGGTACAACAGATCTGCCAAAGTCACATGAAGGTAGTTACACTGCAAATGAACGGTCTTATCCTGGGAATCCAGGGGAACTTCAGCTCGGGCAGTCAGTGCGGCTGACAGGTCTCTCTGATGCCAACCTCAATGGTCAAGTTGGTCGTGTGGCCACCACTCTGACTCCAGCTGAACGCTATGGTGTGAAAATGCCATGCGGCCGACACATCGCTGTTCGACCGCGCAATCTGAAATTGGTTGTGAATGAGATTGACGGAGAGGACATCTCAGTGGAGAAGACGCTGTTTCGGTTTCCACCAGGCACAGCCAAACCCTTCACCTACTGAGTATTCCTGTTGCCAAGATTGTGTAGATGCCTGCCTACGGTACAGTAGCAATGGAAATTGCTTCAGTTCGAGTGACATTGCAAAGTAAAGTTGACCTGCGTTTGATCATCAAACGCCAGATTTAATTTTCTACTAGTCTACTTTCATACACTGGAGCGCTCAGTGCGTTTCTGAAAATCCATAGCTTGCTGCAAGGCACCCAACGATTACGCTACATTCGGGCACTTTGCTTTCCAAATTATTGATGCATATGCCTCCTCGAGGCAATTCATTTTGGTGCATGTGGTACGAAATATCCGACCATACGCATCCCCAATACAGTTCGGACGAAACGCAAAAGACGCAAAAAATCCGGTGGTGGTTAGGAGGGAGCTACTGAACTGTAAGGAGCTATGGGTATATGATGGCATCCACGTTCTCTACCGAAGGGGGATGCAAGGAGCTACTAAGAAATTCCCAACCACAATATATATATATATATAAATACATATACATATATACATATATACATATATACATATATACATATATACATATATACATATACATATATACATATATATATATATGTATATATACATACATATACATACATATATATGTATGTCTTGTGATTTCCTACAAGCATGATGGGCACGTGCAAGGAATCGGACGATGATGGTGAAAGGATGTTTTCGATGCACACATAAATTCCTCTCAAGTTTCTCCGCCCCTGTTCATGCCTGTAAATTGATGCACATCCTCAAATTGATACTGGAATAATTCCCCACATTTGGTAAACCTCTGCTTGCCTGTGAAATAATACGTTCTTGTCTTGACGCGATAGGCTCTTTTTTCGATCCCCATGTTGGCATTGCTTGAAACTCATGGTGGTTCTTGATTCACCGCTGCAGGACGTTCCCTCGGTGTGTGAGCAGTTCCACATCCCCTTCCAGTGTCCTGGAAGATATGGGTATGGATCAATACCTATTAATACCATTTTTAGTGGGATGAACATCCATTTACCAGCTATTTTGGGGTTCACTAGGTACCAGGGTTTTGACCCATCCCCATGTTAAATCCCATCTGTCAAGGTGTAAATTCCCCCCAAAAAAAAAACGATAAACCCTGTGTCCTGGCGAGCAAGAGCTAGTTGATTCTTGGGAGCGACAACAAACAACTGGTTTAAGTTGAAGGGGATATATTATGATATATAATGATATATATATATACATATGTGTATATATATATATATTATATATATACATGTATATATATATATATAGGTTCTGTATTCTATCCAGATGAATGGGTCTATTTGAATGTCTGAAAATGGGTTGGGCCTCATTCCCAAGTGCTTCCAACATGTTAGAACCGGATCTGTTTTCCAATGAACAAAATGGGTACCCCATGCATCTTCTAGGTGGGGACCGTAGCGTTTGCCCAGTCGAAACTCAAAACTCTAAAGATACCATTTCCCAAAGATTCAGAACCAACTAAACAACATAGATTCCAAGAGATCCTCATTCATTTCTCAAAGTCCCATTTTTATCCATTTTTCAGGGTGATTTCTTCCTCATTTAGTCTATAAATCACCAGTTTTTGGTCATGCCATGGGGGTTCAACCTCCCCCAACCCGCTTCGCTTCGCTTCGCTTGGCTCAGGTCTGGTGATGACGAAATCTTGCGACAGATGGACCGTGGCTACACCGCGGAACGCTACAGGCCCTATGGGATGCCTCTGTGGAAAATATCTGTGGATCCCTCTGGTTGTGATATACAAAAAGCTATTCAAAATGGTCATTTACAGTGGATTTACCCATTAAAATATCATGATACCCTCTGGTTATGACTAACATAGCCATGGAGCGGAAGCCATAGCTTATTTAGTTCGATGATTTTCCCAGCGAAAAAAAAACAACACCTCCATTTGAATGGTTGGGATTTTCCAGCCAGCTATGTTAGTCATAACCAGATGGTACAATTTATGTCAACTTTCAGACTTTCATGGGATGAAATGAGCAGTGTTCAAAACCCCTGTTTGTTGATGACTAGTTGGGGGATTATACTACCCAATATTTTAGGGACTACAAGAATCCAATAGGGGAATCCCTAGAAACCAACCAGTGTAATGGAATGATACAGGGATTTTGAACACTGCTCAAATGATCATTCACAAAGTAGTTTTAGATAGGGCTAGCCTTATTTTCAGATTAACCCACACGCGTCACTGGATAAGTTCTAACAGCTTCAGAAAGACCAAACTGCAGATGCCGTTTAGTAGAGGGAACTACCTTCTAAGCATGGGCTTATTTTCAGGTAAATTTGGTTGATGTCCTGGTACTAGCTCAAGATGGCAATGGGAATTCCAATGCGTCAATGTGGGATAGACATGGGGAATTCATGTGGGATACTCTGTTGCCATGTCTAACAGCCTCCTATCTCATGATAGAAGTTTGAACGCTGTACACATACCTGTACATCATTGCAGTATACAGCTTACAAAGCCCCCATCAAGAAGCCAGCCACTCTTCTAAACTCCTGGTAGTAACTATTGAATTGATAGTAATGATGACGATGATCATGATAATTATACTATGATGATTAGTATTACCATGGAATTTCCTTATTTTTTGTATATACCGAGCAGTGGTCATTGTGGTGTGCTACATTCAAAACATGAGTTGTTTGATGGGCAAACCCTTGAAGGAATGTCCACCTGGTGGTGGCTCTCCAGTTATAATGAAGCTGACTGGTTTTGTTTGAACATAGGCTAAATGAATCATAGACAAAAAGCATAAAAATCCAATGATTTATGGTGTCTCATCACTTCATCCATATTTTTTCCCAATGAAACATCAGTTTTCCCGTATTCTTCCGTACTTTTCGCATGAAATTCCCATTTAGTCTCATAACAATTCCATTACATGCCATATTCAAACCCCATAAAATCATATAAAATCCCATTTGTTCCATATTTTTTCCATGAACACCTCAGTTGTTTGAGACCTTTGAACTTGGACCCACCAGGCGCATCGTGGACAACATCCGCCGCGCGATGCCAACTGCAGGGCTCTCGGCCGATGCCATTGTGGGCTTTCCGGGGGAGACAGAGGCGCGGAGCACGCGGAGCTCGGATGATGTTCCATTGTAAACCATCCAGCGATAAAGGGTTACCCCCATTTATGGAAACCTCCCTATTTATATATAATTAATTAATATATTATACATATGTCGTATTTTAATGCAATTTACCCCCAGCTATATGTTGATGAACATATTGGCTAATACCATTTATATAATACCTGGTAAGCGTGTTTAAAATGTCAAAGTTAATATGTAACAATATAATTATGTATATATATATATAATAATAATAATAATAATAATAATAATAATAATAATAATAATAATAATAATGATCATTAATCACTGTTAATGGCCATTAATAGTGGTTAACACCCATTAATAGTTGTTAATATGTTTTTTTTTAACAAAAAACTGTTATTATCCATTAGTAATGGTCATAAATGGATTTAATATGGTACTCGTATTACAGTTTTCAGATGTGGGATGTGTTTTTTTGGATACTCGGATGGGATGGTGTTTTCTGGGGTAATTCTGGGGAAACCATGGGCTATCATTACCCTCTTGTAAACGTTTACATAAAACTATGGAAAATCATAGGAAAATGGTAGTTTTATGGGAAAATCATAGGAACACCATAGGAAAATGGTGGTTTTACCCTCTGGTAAACGTTTACACAATAGCTTTTTGTATGTTTACCAGAGGGTAAATCCGATTAACCCCAATACCAAATGGAGGTGTCCTAAGTCATGGGGGTGCCACCAAATGATCCAAATTAGAGCATTTTAGTATTGAAACCCATGGTTTTGGGGGGATCGTCCACTTTACGAACTCCCCATATGATAAATGAAAGTTGGATCATTCACCATGCTGGTAGTAGTCAGTCAGCCATAGTAATGAGCATGGTTTAATGATCTAGTAATGTCGCGATCCATGATTATTGTAATGTGGACATCCTGACTGTGACATCACTGGACTGATGCTTGGGACGCTTGGGAGCGGGGTTTTAGTGTCACGGTTGGGGTCTTATTTCAGCTATTTGGGGGAGACTGGCGCTCCGGTCCTTCATCTTCGCCCTTGATCTTTGTCAGCGCCAGAAGAAACTTCCGCGCCTTCAAAAGCACCAGGAGGAACTGAGCAACTCTACCACAGATCGTCTGACGTTGGTCGCGCGGAGTATTGGAATTGCGCAGGGAGTTGTCTTGGAAAACCGGAAAGATTCTGCCCTGAACGCGGCCTTCCCATTGTCGAATTCCAGGAAGAGTTGGTATCTTTCTTGTCGTGCTCTGTCAGAACGACCCTACTAAGCCCAATGCTCCGTGCTCATGCAGCAAGTTCCTCGGCTTCCTCGGCCGGAAACTTCTGGCGACAGAAAGAGAAAGACCGGCACACATAGCCGCCGCCGATGCACAGCCAGTGAACCAGATTGCCTCAAAACTAGTGAATAGCTAGAAACAAGTTATATAGTGAAAATCATAGTGGATATAATACCTCATAACCTAATAAAAGTGGAAATAATAGTCATGACAGTGGTTCTGAATGTTTATATATGTCTATGATATGTTGTAATTCCTAGTGGATAATATGTGGAATATGGATACTATACTTTGTATAATAGAACATAGTAGCTAAATGTTATTGTTAATTGTAGCCAAAAAACAAATGGAAGAAAGTATCAATGTTGATAGTTGATAGTAAGAATTGTGATAAGTATTCATTTTTGATAGTTTACCACTGGTGGTTTAATAGTAAAATGGTAATGGTTTATGATGGTCATAAGTGTTTTGTAATCATGATATATATATATATATATTATACATGCTCATGGTTGAAAAATAAGGGTTATTCAAGTGAATATCATGAGGTGATCCCTGTTGATTAAACCCCGCCCCAAAAACTGGTCTCTGCTTAAAAATCCCAGAATCCTAGAATTTTCCCACAAAAAAAAACTAATATATATATATATACATATATATAATCATATATATATATATATTTCCCAAAAATCCCAGAGTCCTAGAATTTTCCCACACAAAAAATACACACACACATATATATATATATTTACCACGATATATACCATTAGCTCATGGTATCATATCCCAGTGCTTGGAGTGCAGCAAAAAAACACCATGAAACATGGGGTAGTTGATCCCATCATCCCGGGATGGTCCGAGGAGCAATTCCAACGCACCCTTCAGCTGGTGGAGGACCAGACATGTAGGTAGGATCCGCCCCGGAAGAAAAGGATAGAAAATTAACTATAGAATATGGTTAATATGGTTAATAGTTAGTTATTATGGTTAATATATGTTAATATATGTTGATATAACTAATATTAACCCCAACAACAAGAAATGGATCCAAACACTGTCTGAGAAGGTACGGCTAACCCTCCAAATTATAGTAAATTATACCCCAGTCACACTTCCAACAAGGTACGGCTGGATCCATAGGGATAGAATCTACAACAACAGATGCTCCATGGTGATCATGGCATTCTGGGGTTTTTATGTAGGTACATATTACAACACCATGGTTCGCATCTGGGTATAGAATATACAACAGATAGGAATAACATATGATGCATTATCATGACAACTACTTTGATGATATGTTTTGATGTTTTCCATCTTTGCTGTTTGCCAAATATCACTGAAGTCCCGCAACTCTTCCAGAGTTGATCCCAATTCTGGTGGGACATGGTTTCCATGCAGTTTCCATTGAGTCAACGGATTGTTTAGGTACCCCAAATGCAAGTACTGTGCCCTGTAAAAGGAGAATACTATGTGGAATTATTTGTGGATATTCCATTGCATGTGTTAGGTATGTGTAATTGAGGTAGAGTACCAGCAATCCTCGATTTGGCGATTAAGGTCATTATGAAGCATATGATTAAAGCATATTAAAACAAGTGTGGTAAATACATTGTGTTTATGGCTGGGTGTGTGTGTGTGTTTCTGAAAATGGGGACATGATGATTACCCAGTGGATAAAGGCTGCCCTATTTTCAGCTGAACTCCAAATCGGAGATATAAGCAACCGGATTTGGGCACCAACAAATGCAACATTTATGAAGGATTTGACTCAACGTGGTGTGTCCCAAACCGCGGGTACCCCTGATACCAAAACAGGAGGCTTGGAGGTGCATATATATATATATAAATAGAAAATGGGATAAACATATAGGTAATGCTTCTTAGTTTTCTAATCAGGGGAAATGTTTTTTTTTTTTTTTTCGGTTTTTCTGCTAGATGGATTCCTAGAAGCTTGAAAATTCATCCATAAGCCATGTGCCACTGCCAAGTACGCGTGGGTGAACGGGAGAATATCGGGTTGGAGATGCAAAAGGAACTTGAACATGCATATATATACCTGGATCTTCGAAAGGATACAAATAAGTGTCCGTTTCCAAGATTTCTGCCCTTAGGGCGGATTTCTTGTGAAGGAGCTGGAAATGGTCACTTTTTTATTATTGTGGTTAATTTTGGATTTCGTGCCTTTTGGGCTGATCTTACTCTACTTTGCGTAAAAATGTGTCGATTTTTTTGGGCGGAAATTCCCGGGAAAAAGGCGGAAATACCCGGGAAAAGGGCGGAAATACCCGGGCAGATTCATCATGACTCAAAAATGAAAACATGAAGTGGCATGTTTTTTCTTGAAATGGTCATTATTATTTTGAAATGGGTAAATCTCCAAAAAATGGTCAGAAATCAAACCAAAATCTGCCCTGGAAAGAAATTTGTAACCAATGAATATCCAGGTATATATATATATATGCGACCCAATAATTCGACATGATATCTGATATTTTCTTTACGTTGCCATGATTTCCACACATCATGAACCAGGACTCAGGACTCCGGACTGCCAGGAAATTGGCTTCTTGACCGTCAACCTGGCTGCCTATTCTCCGCGGCCCAACACGTTGGCGGCGCAGCGGCCAAATCAGGTGCCAGAGGCGTCGCGAATTAGCTGTGGGACAGAGGATTGAGCTATGAAAAATGGTGGAAAATCAAGAGTTAGCCATGAACAAATGGGAGACTGTCCGGATTTAGCCATTGATGGGGGAATTTTTAGGACTTAACCATCAATAGTGGTGGGAGAGGATGAGGAACATAGGTACTTGTATACCAAACCATGAGAGAATGATGGGAGTATGAAATGGAATAAAATCACCAATAAGTCCGGTCTCAAGGACATACTTCACAAGAATTTGTCATGCGGAAACCTTGGGGGTATGACCAAAGGGCGCTAGGTGAGGATGGGTTGGTCTGAAAATCCGGCAACCCAATATGATCAAGATGTGGTTGTTGATCATTTTCCCGATCACACAATTTCCCATTGGGTATGCGTGCAACAAATCTATCCAAATCTCAGTGTTGTTGATGTATCCCTTACATCCCAATGTTTGCTTGTTAAATCTTCAGTTCTGTCAGTTAATTCGCCATATGAGCGACCCCAAAAACCGTTTTGAATTGTTTTAATTAGGGCCTTGTCATATGAGCATTTGGCGTAAGCAAAACCCTGGTTGGCGCAAGGTGGCGTAAGGGGTTTTGTCAAGAATGTGCTGCGTAAGCACTGTGCGTAAGCACATGTGTGGCATGTGCAAATCAAAGTAAGAGATTGCCCCTCAACTATGGTTTCCTTGTGTGTTTTCTTAATTGTTCTATTTTTTTTGGTTATAATTCCCCAACACTATGGCCACATTCCGCGTAAGCTCCGCGTAAGCTCCGCGTAAGCAGCGCGTAAGCTGAACTTGACTTTTTGAGTAGTAGCCCACATGCCCGCGCAAACAAAAGCCTTTTCGGACCTGCAATGGCGCCAAAGAAACCGCGTCGTTGGAACTGTTTTTGAAATTTTCGAAGCACATTGCCCCTCTGTCGCGTAGCTCTTCTTCCTCTTCTTCGACCTCTAGCTCTTCTTCATCCTCACAGCGCTGATGCTGCAAACATATTTGACGGTGAAAACAAGCAGTGGCGTAAGCAAAACCTGTGGTGAGGCATCATTTTTTCGAGATTTCCCAGTGCGTAAGCTCCGCGTAAGCTAGTTTTTTCTCATTGTTCTCGCGTAAGATAACACTGTGTGCGCGTAAGCAGTGCGCAAGCCCCAGCGTAAGCATATCCAAGCGACATGGCAAAGGAGATAGGTTTTTGGCGCGGCTCATATGTCCCATGCAATCCATGTAAAACCATTAAAAAAGCACAGCACCATCAAGCCTAAGCGGAAAAAAGCCCATAGTAACCCCATGTAACCACCAAAAAAGATAGAAGCATGTTTCTAGGATGCTCCTTTCCAGCTGCAACTTTTCGGCATTGGCACAGGAGGACAAGAAGCGACGCCTGCAGCAGCTGAAGGACGTAGTGCAGCGCTGCTCTTTGGAGCAGAGTCGTCGCATGCGGGGCCAGGCACTGGACGTTGCAAAAATGGGGTATGAAACTTAGAATCATGGGGATACAATATATAATAGTCATGATGTATAATATATATATATCATTGTATAATATTATATATATACGTAATTATATATATAAATACACAATTGCGGGAATATGGCGGGATGTAGAAGCAACACTATGTTTAGCTTTTTGTTCGCCAACAAACAACGGTGTGTGTGTGTGTGTAACATCTAAATAGATGTAAAACTTCTCTCTTTTTCTTCCTTCTGTCCTCTCCCTTTCTAAACCTAGTGCAGGGGGACAGAGCTCTCTGATGCTACTCTGTCCAACGAAGCTATGCATCAGAGAGGGAAGCATCCACTGGCCATGGATGTGTACCTGCAAACATGTTCAGCAATGGCAAGAGGCTAAGCCAAGGACCTCACCCAATACATTATTTCTGGCCACGGCATTATTTCTGGTTGACTTTTTGATCCTTATTCTATTGTTTTTGATGTCGATTCAGGTCCTGGAGATCATTCAGGAGAACTTCCATTATTCGTAGGATGCATCGTGAATTAATTTGTTTCCCATCTAATTTGCATGTTACAGGATTCAGTTCCTGCCGGATCACTTCAATGATCCATTCTTATCTAGTGTGATTCCTATGGTGACTCCGACATGGTGCCATGGGGCCAATTGAGGCAACCCCAGTTGGGGTCAATGTCGACTGACCGGAATTCTGAATTCACACATTTTAATATGGTAATTCGTTTAAGTAAAGTGAAACAGTTGGCCTTACTGTTATGCGCCTTTTTCACGAAGTCCCGCCGTTCTTGTCGTCCCCACTTACCTCGCCAATTGCCGCTCTCTCAATGTGAAGTTGCTCTGAACAACCAGAAACACAATCTTTTCACCGCTGCAGCTCTAGCTTGTGACATTCATGACATGACATGAAAAACAGGCAGGCACACGACTTTCAGGTGTGGTCTCTTTTCTTGTGGTTGTCTGGTGAGGTCAAACATATTGTGCACCTAATTTGCTGGAACTTGAAAGCCATTTTATGCCAATTGGGGCAAGACTTGACCACGGTCCCGGTGCAGGGAAGAATCGCACGACATCTAGGCAATGAGGAACTGAGTCCTGTTGTTTAACTAATTGTTTTGGTTTTCTGGTCTGTCATCAACTAGTCCCCCATCTGGTCCCTAATTTTTTCCCCGCGTGCCTCTCCGTAATGTGTCGTGGGGTTTAGGTGTGTGCGCTGTTTTGGTCAGGTCCGTTTCGCCGTGTAGGTTGGTTTTGGAGGTCCGTTTGTTCCCCTCCCCCCTGCGCTGTTCTGGCCTTCTGCCCGTCGTCTGTGTTCGCTTTTTTCTTCCTCTTGCCTTTCAGGGTTGACCCGGCTCCGGCCGGGTGTGTGTGTGTGTAACATGTAAATAGATGTAAAACTTCTCTCTTTTTCTTCCTTCTGTCCTCTCCCTTTCTAAACCTAGTGCAGGGGGACAGAGCTCTCTGATGCTACTCTGTCCAACGAAGCTATGCATCAGAGAGGGAAGCATCCACTGGCCATGGATGTGTACCTGCAAACATGTTCAGCAATGGCAAGAGGCTAAGCCAAGGACCTCACCCAATACATTATTTCTGGCCACGGCATTATTTCTGGTTAACTTTTTGATCCTTATTCTATTCTTTTTGATGTCGATTCAGGTCCTGGAGATCATTCAGGAGAACTTCCATTATTCGTAGGATGCATCGTGAATTAATTTGTTTCCCATCTAATTTGCATGTTACAGGATTCAGTTCCTGCCGGATCACTTCAATGATCCATTCTTATCTAGTGTGTGAAGATGGTGGTATACCCTTTTACAATGGCACATTTCTGTGGGAAACTCGTGGAACATACCCTCTGGTAAACGTTTACATCACTATGGAACATCACCATTTTTTCATGTGAACAATCACTATTTCTATGGTGATTTTCCATCGTTATGTTAAACTACCGGAGGGTAAGCAGCAACAGTGAATTTTGGGATACCGATACCTTTTTGAACAACCCAAAAGTTGGATTGAACCAGCAAATACACGGAGATATATATATATATATATAGATGGGACATATATAACGAACATAAAATTAATATGATACTTGCAAACAACGGGATCTTTTGAGGAACTTGGTCGGTGAAGGTGTGATCATTCAGTTTGATTAACTGGAATGGGTACGGGCTGTAGATCTCTGGAAGATCTTGGAATCTTTCGAGAAACTCGACTGAAAACTCATAAGTCCAACACCCAAAACAAATGTATGGACTATGATTCTGGTTGGTGGTTTCAAACATGAATTTTATTTTCCATAATGTATATATATATATACATATGGGATGTCATCCTTCCCATTGTTTTTCATATTTTTCAAGATGGTTAAAACCACCAACCAGGATTCCATTCTTGAAACATAAGAATGTTTGCATTCCAAGCCTTGTTTTGGGAGGAGCACGGAATTGTTTTTGGGGTTGGGTTTGTGGTGGTTACCTATAGCTTAGCTCCTTGTCGGGTACGATTTATGCCTGGGTGTCGTGAAAGTGTCTGTGAATCCCGGTCAAGAAGCAAAAACTTAAGATGTCGGTCACATCTTACTCGATATTACTTGGTCATCATTCATCTATAATCATCTATCTATATATATATATTATATATATATATATATACGTATATTTGGCCGCATCAAAAGATCCTTTGTGTCGGAAGCAACAAATAGGTATATATATATATATGTGTGTCTGAAACTATTTCATCGATACAGTATTAACATTATTAAGTCACTCATCAGTTAATATTAATATTTAATAGACTTAATATACTATATATATATATTCTAAATGACTTAGACATAGTTTCAGTATTAATATTATTAAGTCGATGATAGAGTCGTTTGACATCAACGATCCCCGTGGTCTCACTGCTGGGAACTGGGTTGGAAAATCCCGACTCCGATGAGAACTGGGGGTACCCCCCTGTTAGGAGACCGCCATATTATAGCATATTATAGCTTTATATATATATATATATATACAGACACCCGTCGGTTATTCCTGGCTAAAATCCCTAGGCTGGAGCCTCGAGTTAAAGTCTTCAAACCTGTTTAGGGATTTCAGCCAGGGAAAATTTGATGTTTGACCCATGGATTTTATCCAGAGCACGGCTTCAAACAATGAGAAGATGTTGGATGCTAGACCAAGGGATTTTATTTCTATGATATATCTATGCTTGTTTGTCAGACCTTGGATTTTATCTTTGGCATCCTTGGCCTAGTTAATAAAATGCCAAATCTCAGCTCATGGGATTTCATCCTGGTGACCTTGGGAATTCCAAAACCTCAAACCTTGGATTTTATTTCCGGCAATGGTTTGGACAGCAGCCGCCCAAGCAGCCTAATAGCCTACACAGACCCTGCACAGCACCCTGCAAAGCACCTTTGCCAGACCTCGCCACCGCAGTCTGGAGAGCAGCCTAGCAGCCTGCACAGCACCCTGCACTGCACCCTGCATAGCACCCTTGCCAAACTTCGCCACAATTCGCCACCGAAGACCTGACCTTTGAGAAGTAAGAACCCCTATAGCTTCCAGCTATCTGGGGAAAAACAAAATTCTAAGAGCAATGGAGCTTCCTTCCTGGAATGAGGCGGCGTGGACATTTGCCTCTGAATCCGGGAAAACACATTATAAACCGCCTTGCCATCGTCCTTCCCTCGACTTTGCAAGAACAAATTGCTAAAGTACCCCGGGGCCATCTCTAGAATGGCACTCCACTTCTGGCCAACTTGCGGATCTTGCTGCTTGTTGGCACCCTCACTGGCTGGCAGTCGGACATAGCCATTCTCATCAAGAAGTGGCCGGTCAGGGTGCTGCGCAGCGTCGAGTTCCACAAATCGTTGGAGCTCTTGCCTGATCAAGGCATCGCCTTTTTTGAACCTGTTGAAATTCTCCGGTATGGCCTTAGCCAGTAGGAGCGGGCCAAAGATATGAATTACCCGCTAAAAAATCTATTGTTGTGGCAAGTGTTCAGAATGTTCAGAATTGGTGGGTGAAATCAAAGCCTCAAATCAAAGCCTAAACATCTAAAACCAAACATATCTAAACAACACATGAGGGTCACCCAAGCTCAACGTCGATCACCCAAGAATCTCGGGCTAGAATCCAAGTGGCTTGAGGTTTTGGGGACTAGCGAAATAAGATCTATGATATTGAAATTCTCCGGTATGGCCTTAGCCAGTAGGAGCGGGCCAAAGATATGAATTACACGCTAAAAAATCTATTGTTGTGGCAAGTGTTCAGAATGTTCAGAATTGGTGGGTGAAATCAAAGCCTCAAATCAAAGCATAAACATCTAAAACCAAACATATCTAAACAACACATGAGGGTCACCCAAGCTCAACGTCGATCACCCAAGAATCTCGGGCTAGAATCCAAGTGGCTTGAGGTTTTGGGGACTAGCGAAATTTTGATCTATGATATTGAAATTCTCCGGCCTTAGCCAGTAGGAGCGGGCCAAAGATATGAATTACACGCTAAAAATCTATTGTTGTGGCAAGTGTTCAGAATGTTCAGAATTGGTGGGTGAAATCAAAGCCTCAAATCAAAGCCTAAACATCTAAAACCAAACATATCTAAACAACACATGAGGGTCACCCAAGCTCAACGTCGATCACCCAAGAATCTCGGGCTAGAATCCAAGTGGCTTGAGGTTTTGGGGACTAGCGAAATAAGATCTATGATATTGAAATTCTCCGGTATGGCCTTAGCCAGTAGGAGCGGGCCAAAGATATGAATTACACGCTAAAAATCTATTGTTGTGGCAAGTGTTCAGAATGTTCAGAATTGGCGGGGGAAATCAAAGCCTCAAATCAAAGCCTAAACATCTAAAACCAAACATATCTAAACAACACATGGGGGTCACCCAAGCTCAACGTCGATCACCCAAGAATCTCGGGCTAGAATCCAAGTGGCTTGAGGTTTTGGGGACTAGCGAAATTTTGATCTATGATATTGAAATTCTCCGGTATGGCCTTAGCCAGTAGGAGCGGGCCCAAGATATGAATTACACGCTAAAAATCTATTGTTGTGGCAAGTGTTCAGAATGTTCAGAATTGGTGGGTGAAATCAAAGCCTCAAATCAAAGCCTAAACATCTAAAACCAAACATATCTAAACAACACATGAGGGTCACCCAAGCTCAACGTCGATCACCCAAGAATCTCAGGCTAGAATCCAAGTGGCTTGAGGTTTTGGGGACTAGCGAAATAAGATCTATGATGTTGAAATTCTCCGGTAGCCAGTAGGAGCGGGCCAAAGATATCAATTACACGCTAAAAAATCTATTGTTGTGGCAAGTGTTCAGAATGTTCAGAATTGGTGGGTGAAATCAAAGCCTCAAATCAAAGCCTAAACATCTAAAACCAAACATATCTAAACAACACATGAGGGTCACCCAAGCTCAACGTCGATCACCCAAGAATCTCGGGCTAGAATCCAAGTGGCTTGAGGTTTTGGGGACTAGCGAAATAAGATCTATGATATTGAAATTCTCCGGTATGGCCTTAGCCAGTAGGAGCGGGCCAAAGATATGAATTACACGCTAAAAATCTATTGTTGTGGCAAGTGTTCAGAATGTTCAGAATTGGTGGGTGAAATCAAAGCCTCAAATCAAAGCATAAACATCTGAAACCAAACATATCTAAACAACACATGAGGGTCACCCAAGCTCAACGTCGATCACCCAAGAATCTCGGGCTAGAATCCAAGTGGCTTGAGGTTTTGCGGACTAGCGAAATAAGATCTATGATATCTATGATATCTATGATATCTATGATATCTATGATATCTATGATATCTATGGCTTCAACCCTGCCAGGCCTTAAATCTTTCCAAATCCCAAGGGCTGGGACCAAGTACTGTGACCTGAGGGATCTGAAGGGGCCAAGTTACGAGGATGGTTTTCGAGTCTTTCTCCACTGACTTCTTCACCTTGTCGTGCGTATGCTTGACCAAATTTTTCTGCATGGTCGACTTCAAGGTTTTCTGGGAGATCTTCTGGTGGCTGCTGGGTGCAGGATCTGCGGCATTCTGCGGCCTCATCATCCGTGTCATCGATGGTCACAGTGCCATTGTCATCATTGTCATCTTTGCCTGCGTTGGTCATGTTGGTCTTTTGCTTCTTTGCTGTCTTCTTTCGCATCTTTTGCTTTCCTGATGTTCCTGGAATCTCTCGTGTCAACTTCGCAGATCCTTTGGTCCCATGCAAGGCTTTGGGCCAGCTGGTCCATTCATGGGCATGTATCACTACTTCAAGTGCTTTCGCTGTCAGCGTGACTTGCACTCCATCAGCTCCAAGTTTGGTGTCCGCAATCTGAAGCACCAAGCCAATTCTGTCTGCTGCGACAACCATGGTTTCACCCATGGCAGTTGCCCTGAATGTGCCTTCTGGTTGGTTTTGGACTGGACTCATCTGAAAAACAAAAAGTGGGACAATAGAGGCCGAACAACGGGAGCAATTTGGGAAAGACGGAAAAGGGGGCACGCGTCGCTCGGCACGAGCTGGCATCATCCAGCAATCGGGAACATCAGGCGTTGTCATCAGGCATTGGCTTGGATCTTGGGCCCTTGGTTTTTATCTTGAAGACACTTTTGGCATGTGCTTCTCGGGCCCAGGGATTCTATCTCTAACATAGTCTTTCTGATCACTCGTTGGGTTATCTCAAGCCTTTGGATTTTATCTCCAAAACCCTTTGCTTTTTTTTTTTAATTTTGCATTGTTTTTACCGTGGGGTCAAGCCAGGGATTCTATCCAGGGCCCTTTGGTCTCAGACCAGCTGGATTCTATCCCAAATCTTGGCTTAAATCCTTGGCTCCAGGCTAAGGTGTATAAGCAACGGGTATTATACAGGTTGGTGGTTTGGAACATTTTTTATTTTTCCATACTAGATGGAATAATCCTTCCCATTGACTAATATTTTTCAGATGGGTTGAAACCACCAACCAGTATATATATATATATATAGATGGGGATATAATGGGATATATGTACATATTATCCAGCTAAATAGACATATTGTCTTCTAGAATTCCTAGCCCCGCCACTCTTGGCTCGAGCTTGGCTATTGTTTTTGTTGTGACCAGCGAGGCCAAAATTGGAAGAATCGTTTTTTTTTCGCCGCACGAAAACAAGCCAGCAAATCAAAAATGACGAAACTATATCGTACATTGTCATATGCTATATATCACTATATATTCATATATCACACATTATCAGTATCATACTATCATATACTATATTTTTTAACAAATCGTGCGGCTGTTGGCACAAGCTACCCAGCTGCCCTTTGGTCCGAGCCGTACGTTGCTCGGCCTTTTGGGCATGGCGTTCGTCGGCGCGATGTTGGCGGCACTGATCACTGTGGTTGCAGCGATGGAGGATTGTGCTTCGGCGAAGGAGAGCATGGTTCTAGCTGGGGTTACCAGCAGAAATATCGATGTCACGGGCATGAAGACGGATGTAATCAACAAGGAAGAGGGGTGTTTATAGCCAGGAAAAAAATACGGGATTTAGTCAGGGAAAGTCGGAGTGGGCTAGCAAACATGCTGGGTTCACTCCTGGAAATGTGCGCATGGTTCAAGATTTGGTCCATGGTCCAGCGTTAGCAAGTGCTGCGTGGATGAAGAATTATGTCATTTGTGAACCGTGCCAACAGTTTGTTGTGGATGATCAGGGGAGGATGTTGAGGCTCAAACTCATTTGCCACTCTACCACTCTACGTCGGATTTTTGGGATTATATGGATTCAACATGATATTCAACATCCGCGGAAGATGTTTTGAACATGTTTGAACCGCCAAGAATCGTCCCATCACTTGAGGGCCCATCTATTCAGTATCTCCTTGAGACAACCGATAGGCCCTAGCCATCACCGAGGTACTGATGGCGAATCATGGGTGGGTTGAATTCCCACTGACGAATACTGAGAATCAAACATGGTTTGATGTAAAATTCAGATTCACCATGTATTTCGATGATTTTCACCATAAAACCACAAGAAAACCTCCATTTATACGGGATTTTCAATGGCCGTCTTTGATGAGTGATTGCCTGATGTCGGCCCTTGCCGCCGTCTTCCGGCAATCGCGGCAATAGCTGTTTGTTCAACCACGGTCGCATCCGGCAGATTGGGCAATTCCCCATAGGACTTTAATAAAGCATTGATGACCAAACGGTGAAACAATGATATAATATAGTATTTTCCAAGATATAATATTCCATTATACCAAATATGATGGATATTAACAGTATATAGTATGGAATATTATTGAGTTTTCCATATTTTCCATAATATAATATTCCATTGATTCAAGGATGTAGTATGATGTAGTGGAGATATGCAAAGCCACCCAACTTGATCTGGATATATCTGGATGACTGGTTGGTGGTATAAAAAAACATTGGGATTATTTTTCCATTTCATATATGGGATTTATGGGATGTAATCCTTCCCATTGACTTTCAAGATGGGTAGAACCACCAACCAGATAATATTATTCCATTGATTATCTAGGGGGGTGCGATGGCCTGTTTAAATACAATGTCCTGTTAGGGGGCGTAAGACCTGGACACTATATTAAGTTATAAAATCCTGGAAACTATTCATAAGATCCATCAATTATCCATTAATCATCCCTGATTGTCGTTACTATAATATATCCATTAAATAATATATATATATATACATATTACACCTCCTGGTAATTGAACATAGCCATGGAAAACGACCCATTTGATAGCGGATTTATGATATGATTTACCTACTAGGAATGGTGATTTTGCAGTTTGTTACGTTCCAGATGGTAATCATCCAATATGATTCTTATTCAATGATATCAATGATATCTGAATGTATATATATATATATATTATCCATACAAAATACATGAACTATCCATCATCAATGATCCATTTTATCCCATGGGTCTTCCCTGATAAATCAATCATTCCATCGAAAACTCCAAAATCGAATTCTCCGGAGGTCACGACGAGACCTGCCACTCTCCGCAGTTCTTTGGCGTCGGCGGATGGTGATGGATGGTGATGCTTCGGGCATGCTCCATGTGTACATTTGACCAGAAAAACCTACCATTTAAGTGCAAATATTTAAAAAAAATGGGTGTAGTAGTAGATATAAATATATAGTGATCAGATTGGGGTGTTGATGTGTTGATATAACCCGGAAATTGGAGCATATGGGATGTGCCTAATTCCCTCAATGGTTTATGAATAGAGACTTCCCATGAAAACCAAACTTTATTGGTGGATCATGTCGACCAACTGAGCCCTCTCTTCAAAGCCTGGACGGTGATCCAAGCCTGGAAGTCGACTGGAGGTTTTTTCGGGGATTGTAGTGGCAAAAATGGGGGGACATACATACCCTCTGGTAATTTAACGTAGCTCTTGAAAATGGCCATGAATAGTGGATTTTCCCATTAAAAATGGTGATTTTCCATAGCTATGTTAAATTACCAGAGGGTAAATGCGGAGAAAAATCCATGGGAAATTCATCATCATCGGATGTGGTGGAGATATGCCATAACCCAACTCTGGGTGGTTTGGAACATGTTTTATGACTTTCCATATATATATATATAAATATATATATATAAATATATATATATATATATTGGGAATAATCATCCTAACTGACTTTCATATTTTTCAGAGGGGTAGGTCAACCACCAACCAGAACTTGATCTGGATATATTTGGATGCATTATGACCTCACGTCGCCTCAAACCGTCAGAATGGAATGGGAATTTGGGGGATCCCAAATGGCTGCAGTTTTTTGAAGTCGGCCAACTATTTGTTTACCCTCCGGTAATGATAGCGATTGAACATGGCCATTGATATTGATGGTTGAATTTATACAAAAAGTGCTGATTTTACATAGTTATGTTAGTTTACCAGAGGCTATTCAGATAAATATAAGTAGCAAACAAAAATGCAGACTACCTAAGCTCCCCAAAAAAACACCCAGGTTTGTAGGTGCCATGGTGATTATGTTCAAATTCATTTAAGGGTAAAATCATTAAAAAAAAACATGTCCTTAATGGTTAATCCCTGAGTTTGCGTCATGAAATCAACTGGACAGATCAAATCTGGATTGGGATTTGATCAGCTTTTGCTTTCCATATGGGTTCCTGATGGTTCCTGAAATGGGGGTACCCCCATAGCTGGATGGTTTACAATGGAACATCCTATTCAAATGGATGATTTGGGGGTACCCCTACTTTAGGAAACCTCCATATATATGATTCCATGGTTTCTCTATGTGTGTTTCTATGGTAAGATCAGCCACCCCGCTCCGTACCAAGGTTTTTGCAGCTTCAGCAGCAAGTCCGGGCACGCGCTCAGGAAGTAACGCATCCGTGGCCACACGCGCGCGGACGGATGCCACAGCAGTATGGGACCACACCTGAGCCTTGGTCGGCAGGATGCTCAACAGTAAACCAGTGGAAAATGGACGAAAATGGTGATTAAACATGATTGAACCATTTAAACTAAGGATAACTAAGGGATTTCTATGGGGATTTTATGGCCCCTTTATAATGAGAGCTTTCCATGGAGCAACAGTAACGTTGGTGAACGTTTGGGTTGATGGATGGGTGAGATCACGTTTTAACCAACAACAAATGACGATTTTTAGCCTCTGATAATCGAAGACGGCAATGGGACATATATATGTATATATACATATAATTATATATATATATATACATTATATATATATATAATAGGCAATGGTTTTCTGGTTGGTAATCCAACTCATCCCCATGAATGTGATCAAATATACACTGTTTAATGACTGGCTAGTGGTTTGGAACCATGGGATTTTATGACTTTCCCATCATATTGGGAATGTCATCATCCCAAATGACGAACTTATATTTTTCAGAGGGGTTGAAACTAAGTTGAAACGACCAACCAGTATATTTATATAATATTTATATATATTGGTGTCTATTGGATTCTATGGGTAATTAGACAATTCAGCGTTTGGACGTTTGATTTTCGTTTCCTGAATCAGTCTGGGCCAGGGCTGATGGGAATGGACGGACCTCCGCTGAGATCACGATCAAGTTTGGCCATGGTTGATGTTTGGTTATTCTCAAACTCTTTTTTCCCCTCTATATTATGTATATGTATATATATATTATATGGTTGGTGGTTTCAAACATTTGGATTATTTTCCATAATATATGGGATAATCCTTCCCATTGTCAACATGGTTAAAACCACCAACCAGATACTGTTGGAGTTCAAATTTCAAAAGGCTGGATCGTCATGTCTATCAAATGTGGCTAGAGAGCACTGTTTATTCTTTGTGTATTTATGTTTATTTGTTCGTTTGTTTTTCCAAGAGTAAGCCACTCACACGTTTTTTAGCCAAAGTCAGAAATCATGCTGATTGGATGTTCAACAGGAGATGAGATGGTCATATCAGGTCGAGTTTACTGGACACTGGATCTCCCACTGAATTGAATCCCAAGGTGACTCATCCAGAATCGCTGAAGAGCCCATGAGCTGCTCCTGTAAATATGTCAAACACGTTGCATTGTTGTTCCAACAAAATTATCCTCTTTAACGAGATGTTTTATGGCGTATTTCAATAGTTATATCCAAGAAATGTTGAAGATGCATCAACTTACCCTTTGAATCAGCATTTTTGATAGGTAAGTCATCAGTTTTAACTTTTATAATCTATTTCTATGGGCCATGGCTTCCATAGCGAACTGTTGAATCACCAGATGGTATATCCCATCAATATCCAATATTTGAATCACAATATTTGTTGGCTATATAATAACCAACTAAACCATGACATCACCATTAACAATCACCATGAAACCATTAAATCACCATTAAATCAACACTAAATCACCACTCAATCACCATTAAAACATCAAATCACCATTAAACCATTAAATCACCATTAAACCATTAAATCACCACTAAATCACCATTAAATTAAATTTAAATCACCGTTTTTCCTTGATATCACCATCTACCGATCTCATTCCGTCCCAGGAGACCTGGACGAGTCACAAGTTGAGCTGGAGCTTTTCAGATCCTGACGGCCAGTTCCACAACATGTTCTCCGGGGGAGCCGAATCTGGGACCAAAAAAAGGCGCTTCAAAAAATGGGGGGAGAAAATCATGTGGATGTAGTCTATATATGTTCATATATTATTATATGCATTATATTATGTGTCTATTATTATGTATATGATTATATACATATGTATATATATATATATATATATGGATTTTATGTATATATATATATATGTGTGTGATTGATCGATGAACAAGCGATGACAAGTCATAAAATTCATAAATACGGATTGACTCTACAATGATGGTGGGAATTCAAGCAATAAATATCGAATCAACGGGCAGCCAAGGAGCTTCTCTTAGTTTCGCAACCACATCAAAGGTGGAATTATGCATAACGAATGAAATCTAAAGTTGGTGAGGAGCAAAGCATAGCGATTCAAATCCCAGCCTTGAGGTTATGTGACCCCTGGATCAATTCAACAACTGTGCTGGTGGATTCATCATAATTGAATATAATTAATCTAATTTGTCTAAGATTGTTTCAGGATTCCTGAGAGATATACCATTTTCGTGAGAACGCTCACGTACACGCGCTCTCTGGGTTGATCCAGTTTGCCATTGAAAGGTGAGAACTATTTTGAAGCGCCCAGATCAGATGTAATCGTGACGAATGTTGATATTTCTTAGAGCTTACTCATCACTTTTCATCGTATTGTTGGTGTGACTACTTAATTTATTCTATCCATTTTCTGGAAGTTATTGACCCGTTGATCATGGTTACTTGTCCTTGCTTTATTTGTCCGTAATGTGGATGAACTTATTCACTCCTGGGTTGTCTAGTTCCATTTTGCGACCAGACTATCATTGTCTGGGGGTACCATCACTTTCTCCTGATTGGCAAATTTGATTATAAGATAACCATCATAAATTTTAACCATAATAATCTAGAAACACTAGAAACACTAGAAACACTAGAAACACTAGAAACATAATAGGAAAATCAGGAATTTCCCTATAAATTGTTTTTTGGGTGGGATAATCATCTAGAAATGGTGGAATCTCCAGCCTGCACCATGTTTCATTCGCGGAACATTCACTTCAGGTGATTGATGAAGATGAAAACCTCTACCAGATGCTGGGAATGGCGGTACGGTGCGTCCTTTTGCCCATGATAAGGGGGATCATGCGAATGATGTGGGCCATAATGGACATGGAATGGTGAGGCTTCTGGATTCAAACATAGTTGAACGTACTTTAAACATATTTTAGTCAACCAAAATGAGGATGTACTGGAGATGATGGAGAACAAACTTAAATGGATTGTATATGGGGGTCGTTCTAAAAGTTTCCTCTTAAAATTTAGTAAGCGGGTTTGTTGAGATCTTTTGCAGAGTTTAAAACCTACATGGCGCAAGTTTCGCGCAAGGCCGGCCCAAGGTTTTGTGCAAGGGAAATTATAGTATGAAGCCAGTGCCATGGCATTTGGGTGTTTCATTTGTAAATGGGTTTTTCATTTGGGTTGTCCATGTTAACAGTATGATCTTATGGGTAAGTAATTGTGATGTTTCAAATTTGGGTTGTCCATTCTAATATGATGTTCTTATGGGTTTATGGTTTCATGGATCTAAGTAACTGTAATGTTTCAAAATGTTGAACTCATGCATTCATGACATGCACGTCCGTTCTCTCAGACTCAGGGATTTCAGGCGTCCGGTGCCTTCCGACGTCTGGTTTCTGGCGTTTGGTTTCTTAGCAGCGGCTGGGTTCCGGCGCTTCCTGCAATAATATTTGTTTATATGTATATATATATATAAATAAATATATATAAATAATATATATATATATATGTTTGCCCCATTTTTATACAATAGCACTGCCACAAGGTAGCGTTTGCGCCGCACAGGTGCATGGTTGCGCCGCACAGGTGCACGAAGATATTTTGTCAAGGTATATTATAATTTAAAGCAGTGATGAACAAGGCTTCCTTTAATGTCCTTTGTCTTACTCTATCCTTCAATCTATGCCCTGGAGTCCTGTCCAGTCCATCCTTCAATCCATCCTCGGGAACCTGGTCCAGTCCATCCCTCATCCCATCACCTTAGTCTAGTCTAGCCTAGTGCCCTGTATCAATCAAATCCTCTCAGCCCAACCCACTGCATGCACCAACCCATTTGTTTAATCCACTCCAGCCCATCCATCCTGCAACCCAGCCCTCATGATGCATCCCCCTTCCGCTATCAGTTGGAAAAAAAACATTCATGTCAATCCATCCCCCTCCGTGTTCTGTTCAGGTCCCTCCAAGTCAATATAACCCAGTGCGTCCATAGGTCAACCCCCCAAACCGTTTATAAACCCATACGTTCAGTCAGTTCCACTCCTTCCTCAACTTAAACCTCCGAACCCATCCTTGTTTGAGTATGAAGGTAAAGACTTTATCCATCCCAGCCCTCTCAGAATTCCTCCAATCCAAACCTACCCCTGCAACCTATCCATGCCAGTCCACCGTCTAACCATTAACCTATCCACCATGCGAAACCCATATGGTCAATCCAATGTAATGTTATCATCAATTCACATGTTCCCCGAATCAACTCCAGTCTATCTATCTTGCCCGGCCCTCTGCACCCATTCTTTGACATAGCAACACTTTGCTCAATTGATGCCAGTCATGCCACATCATTTCACAACCTGATCGTTTCTACAATTTCACTATTGTTGCCAACCCGTCCCTGCCCCTTTTCCTTCTATCTCCCAAACCACAGCAACCCTTGTGTCTGCCCATACCGGTCCATCCATTAAGTCCTATCATCAACCTGAAACCACACTTTCTCTAAACACAAGTCCATCCATCACCCAAACATCCTCCAGCCCGCCGTTTCATGCATTTCCCCATCTTGTTCATAATTTTGTGATTCCAAAGGCACCTGTGTCAAATGTGTTCTGTCATCCCAGCCCATCCATAAATCTATCCAAGTCTTCTCTGTCCTCTCTGGCCGCTTCGTCCACCGATTTACTTCCTCGATTCCAACCTGTCTCTACTCCCCTCCTCTCAGTCCAAGTCCATGTCGCTTCATACACCAGCTCTTGAAGGTTAGTTTCCACTGAATCCCGCCCCCTGCAAACCCATGTTCATCACTGCTAGCGGCTTTGAATATTACCAGAAAGAAATGTTACCGCACATTTTGAGTCACTGAAACTATTGTTTGTGAAATAATATATTGAGCAAGAATACTGTTTCAAAACTTACAATTATAATGATGGATCTTTCTCAGGCTCCTTCTACGCCACCGGACCGAACGATGGAAATGACGTTTTGGAAAATAACAGTGTAATTGTCCCTCATTCTAACTGTGTACTCTGCATCATGAAAGAACTATGTTTGGATGATGCTGTTTGCTTTTAAGTGGGTGTTATTTTGGACGATGTTTGGGATGATGATGTGGATGAAGCATGAGAATACATTTGAATGATGATGTTTGCATATAAGTGGAGAGTGTTTGGACAATGATGTGTATATAAATGCAAAGTGTTTGGGTGATTGTGTTTGTTTATTGTGATTGTTTTTCAGGTGGATACTGTTAGCATATAGATGATGTTTGGATGATAAAGTGGAAGTGAACTGATGTAAAAATCGATTTAAAACCCAAAAACAACAAGTTTTGAATTGTTGTTGACAGGAAAATGATCTATATGAAAAAAATGGACTTGAGGGGAAACATAATATCACAATTTCAATGGTTTCGTCCAATGGTTTTCATTGATTTTCAATCGATGTTTATAGGGATTTTCATTGATTTTCAATCGATGTTTATAGGGATTTTCATTGATTTTCAATCGATGTTTATAGGGATTGTGAAAATTCATTGGTTTCTTTGATTTTAAATAGATTTTCAAAGGAAAATAATGAAAATCCATTAAATGATTCTTAATCGATTTTTAAAGGATAATACTGATCTTTTAAAGGAAAATTGTGAAAATCCATTGGTGTAAGGGTAGATGGTATCATTTTTTTCAACCGCCCCAATGGCCCAAGAGGCCCCGCGGTAGCCCTCGCATCTTTTTTGCCTTTTCTGATTTTCAGATTTTATTTTAGATTTTTTCTTAACTGCTCACACTTCGAAAATATTGAATTCGGGGCGACGTCCCAGGGAAAGAACAAAAATCTGAAACCGAGAAATTTCGTTGCGATTATGTTATTTCCAGTTGGGGGGTTGGGGTCTTGGGGGGTCTCAGCGGGGTGTATTTGAACTTCGTCCAATGGTTTTCATTGATTTTCAATCGATGTTTTAAGGAAAATTGTGAAAATTCATTGTTTCTTAATTTACTCTGAAAGGAATATATTGAAAATCCATGGGGGCTCATTGATTTCTAATCGCTTCTTAAAGCAACATGGTGAAAATCGGTTGTTGCTCATAGATTTTGAGTCGATTTTGTCTTAGCCGGCTTTCGAAGTCATGCTATGTTTCGGGTCAGAAGTATCGAAACCCAATGCCGTTTGCTAACTTCCAGTCCTGTGGTATAGTAGTCTCTAGGGAAAAGAAAATTAAATATGACAATGACGTGGTTCAAAGTAGCGACGAAGATGACAGCAATTAAGTATACAGATATATGTACATAAATCTAAATTCGTGGGTTCAGTAAAGACAACCAGGCACTGTAAAGTGTCATAGTATGAAAACGATCAAATTATCCTTTGACAAATGCATGAATACACAAATATAAAAAATATATGTAAGGCCCTTAGACTACACAAACCCTGTGCCTGGATTCCGGCATTGGGTTTCCGGCACAGCAAGTGTGAGGCCTCCGGCACTTGACTAAGGTCTAAGGTGGACATATAATGACATATATATATATATACATGATCGCTGGGCGACTTCGAACTGGTGATGGAGACCTCCATCGATCCTGGAATCTCGGCATCCTGTGGTTCCTGCATTGAGGAGCCCTGTGTTGATAGATGTAGACATACATGTATCTGTATATACATATGTGATATGTGTTTTCATTCACATATACATATACACATATATACAGTATTTAAATAGATCGTTTTATGTATTCCAGGTATGCTTCTTAGACTACACAAGCGTCTGGTCTCCGGCACTTGACTAGGGAATAATTAATATTTTGACATATCTATCTATCTATATACATATGTGGTATGTGTTTTGATTCACATATACAAATACTATCAAATATTCGTCTATACTGTATATAAATATGTTGGTGTATTTATTTTTCCCGGTATGGTTCTTAGACTGCACAAGTGTTTTGTCTCCAGCACTTGAATAAGGACTTTTTTTTATGACATTATCTATCTTGAAAGCAAATATATATATATATATATATCCTTTGTTATGTGTGTATACGTATATATGTGATATGTGGTTTTAATCACATATACCGATACTGATATATAAATGCTGTGTATATATATATATATATATTCATTTATCTATTTATGTGTTCCTGGTATGGTTCTTAGGCTACACAAGTGTCTGGCCTCCGGCACTTGATTATGGAATAGTTCATAGTTTGACATATTTCTCTTTGTATACATCTATCTATCTATATACAGATATATGTTCCTTTGATACATTTTTCAAATATACAGATACTCATATATACTGTAAATATATATATATATATATTTATTTATGTTTTCCTGGTATGGTATGGTTCTTAGACTATGCAAGTGTCTGCCCTCCGGCACTTGACTCAGATTAAGGAAGTTTTTTTTCAGTGCCTGCCTTCCGGCACTGCAAGACTTGACTAAGGGCTAAGATTGGTACCACTCATATGCATCCTTCATCTGTCACACCTTGTCATTCAACCATCCACTCCTTTATCTACCAATCACATTTCCAACTGTCCATCCATCCTTCCATGTTTCCAATTGTCCATCCATGCATCTCACCATGTGTATATATAAATATATATATATATATATGTATTTGATAATATGCATTTCATCAATCTTTCACTGTAAGTCCATTGATGACAACAACTTGGAGCATCCACCTTAGCTTTAGAGAGTACGGTTTAAGCAGCAGCCTTAGAATTTCTTATTTAAGAATTATTTTTGTATTTCCAAAAAACATCCTTGAATGAAAAACGTAGTTTTAGCTCAG